TATGCAATCTTTCTTTCATTACCTTGTTATTTGCTTTATTTCTTTCTAGATACATGTCGGTATCTTGCTAAATCCTTTAACCAACTAAAACAAGAAGGCTGTTGCTGCCTGCATAGAAAAATGATACTATTTTTCGATTAAAAAAATTCTAATTTGACTTTAGTTTCTTTCCATAGCTTAAATATTTTTAACCCTTATTTTTAGGTACAAGGGTGCAATGATAGATGATGTGCCCCGAATATTTGAAGCTGTTTTTCAGTGCACATTGGAGGTAAGGATGTGGGCTGTCATGCAGTGGTGCCAAAACTACTGAGATTCTATGTTAATATTTGGAGCACTATCATAATACTGCGGTATATTTAGATGTCCTCTAATACTGTTTTTCAAGTAGCCATGAAAAAAATAATCAGTGCAATTATAAGTAGGTTAATATTTATCTTCACACCTATAATTTTAACATGCCCTAACCCTTTGGCGTTGATGCGAGCGCATCAAGTCCGACAAATGAATTGTTTTGGTGGCTGAACATGTTAGTATTGTTCCTAACTTCTTATTATGCATCCCTTTCTCCATAATGCATTGCTAAAGAGCGATTTTTGAATCTGTGCTGGTGATATGTTTGTGGTGCATATCCTCTGATACCAAATAGGGTTTGGTGTGGTGTGTAAAGTTATTTAAGATTGATTTGTACTTCTGTTGTTTTCTTTACATGTCTAGATTCTGTGTGATTGCAGATGATTACCAAAAATTTTGAAGATTACCCAGAGCATCGCCTGAAGTTCTTCTCTTTACTTCGTGCCATTGCTGCTCATTGTTTTCCTGCATTGATTCGGTTATCAAGTCCGGTTTGTGCTTAATTTCATCCCCCTTTTTTGGCTGTGTTTTGATTGTCAGTGTTCTCTGGTTATATATATGAGGGCTTATTGGCGTCTGTTTAACTTGATAATTATCACAAATTGACCATTAATTGTTTTCATATTTTTTTGTATACTTCAGCAACTAAAGCTTGTAATGGATTCAATTATATGGGCGTTTCGGCACACAGAAAGAAACATTGCGGAAACAGGGCTGAACCTGTTGTTGGAGATGCTGAAGAACTTTCAGGTGTGACATTGAGCATATTTGTGTCAAATATAGTGTGCTATTAAGATGCTCACAATGTTTTGATTGATTTGACAGAAGTCGGAGTTCTGTAATCAATTTTACCGTACATACTTTTTGACAATCGAACAAGAAATCTTTGCTGTCTTGACGGACACGTTTCATAAGCCTGGGTTCAAGTTGCATGTCTTGGTGCTCCAACATTTATTTTGCCTGGTATGTATCTTGTTATTTTGATACCTTCTTTCTTTGATTCTCGAGCTTGAGTAATTAGGAGTTAGATATTTACAGGTGGAAAGTGGTACGTTGACGGAGCCTCTATGGGATATTGCAGCGGTTCCTTATCCATATCCCAATAATGGAATATTTGTTCGTGAGTATACGATCAAGCTTTTGAGTACTTCATTCCCGAACATGACTGGAACAGAGGTATAAGTATGATACTATTACGATTGTCTTACAGTTGTTTTTCTACAAATGACTTATCTGAAGGTTTTTTCCAGGTCACTCAATTTGTGAGTGGACTATTTGACTCGAGGACTGACCTATCCACATTTAAGAATCACATCCGAGACTTTCTAGTGCAATCCAAAGAATTTTCTGCACAGGTAGGGGATTCAGAAGCATCAGATGATGCTTGGACTGGCTAATTGATTGATACTCTCTCTCTTTTTTTTCTTTTTCTCTTCACTTTCAGCCATGAAAAATTTGATATTCTTCTATGGACTAATTTGTAAAGTTGATGTAAAATGTTGCATCTTCCCTGGCCATATGTCTTATGTTGGGATATTTCCCTACTTTTTAAACAAAATCCGAGTGATCTGAATGTTCAAACTGAATGTTGTGATTGTGCAGGACAACAAAGATCTTTATGCAGAGGAGGCTGCTGCACAGAGGGAGAAAGATCGGCAACGAATGCTTTCTATTCCAGGGCTCATTGCCCCCAATGAGATACAGGATGAAATGGTTGATTCCTAGGTGGCTAATTCTAATGTTGAGGCTAATTTCAAGGACGACTGATGGAGATGCAATGGGTGCCTTGATTCAATCATCGGAATCTGCCAATGCAACAGCATTTTTTTCCCTGATTAGTTTCCGTTTTGTTTCGTAGTTGAAATTAGTAAAATCACAAAGGCTCCCGTAGTGTTGCCTTTTAAGTCTATTGGATGGCTGTAGAGTATTTAGGTGCTGATTTAGGGAGGGAGTATATTTTGAGTCATTTAAGGGTTTTGCTGGATCCAAATTGATCTTTGTAGTTTGAACTCGCCAGATGGGATGCAATCTGTTTCAATGACTCTATGTTAGTATCGATGATTCATCTTAGGTGTAATTTAATACTAACCTCGCTGGGTTGTGTAGAAATTCCTTGTTCTTTTATTTTTTGGTCGGGTTTTTATAGGATGTGTTGTCTCATTGCGTTGGTGAAGGGCGCCGATTTTTTGTTACCCTCTTGGAGAACAGTGAAACTTGTGTAATTCGATTGTGTTTACTATATGTTCCCTTTTGATTAGCAAATCATCTATAGCTTGGTGTCTTTGCGACGAGTTGAGTGACCTTATAATTTATGACCCAAGCAGCTGTGTTGATTTGAGGGTTGAGAAAATCAGGCTTAGCTTAGCCTTTTCTTTTGGGTTATGTGCTAAATTTGCCCATATAACAATCGAATCCAAAGATCGAAATAGGTTCGATGAATGAGCGAGATAAATAGTAGAAGCAAAGCTTTAAGTTGGATTTTATTGAGGGAAAATCATTATGCGAATGATAGTGAAGTACAGCTCGGTTATTCTTGTGCGACATATTTGTAGTTATAACTTATACTTTAGTGGATCCAGATATGACATCTAGCAATAATTTGAAATTCTGAGCTGAGCTCCCTTTTGGTTCAACCGACTGGTGTGCGAGTAGTTTGACGGTGCTTATGTTGTTTCTCATTTTCTTCCCTCTTTGTTGTGACAAAACTTGATCGAAATATTTGATCATGCCGTGCTTGGTAAAAACCCCATCCTCAACGGTGACCCCGATCTCCAACACGTCCTCCACCATTCTTGCGTTGATCCTTTGGTCGCCAAAGAAAGGCCTGCAAATCATTGGCACCCCGCCTGCTATAGTCTCCAGCAATGAGCTCCAACCGCAGTGCGTTACGAAGGCTCCAACTGAAGCATGGGCTAGGACACGTGGCTGGGGAGCCCAGGGCACCACCATCCCATTACTTGCTTTTATTAGCAACTCATTTAGCAAAGGTGTCTTAAAACTGTCCTTGAGAGACCATAAGAAGGGTACCCCGCTGGCTTCTAAGGCTTGTGCCATCGCCATAAGCTCCTTCTCCGGTGGCCTTGCGACTGACCCAAAACTAACATACACCACGGAGGATGCCGCCTTTTGTTTGTCAAGCCAGGACAGGCAACCAGTAACGTCATCTGCGGCTGTGGGGGCTTCCGGCAGTGGAGGGGAAGCAGCAGCAGCTAGGTTGAAAGGTCCGATATTGAGAAGCTTGTTGAATTTGGATTTCAAATCGTTTGTTACGGTAATATCCAGTTCTTCAAAGCTGTTTACGAGAACTGCGTTGGCACGGGGTAGCAGTTGGCCCATTTGATGCAGCATGCGTGAGAAGACTGAGTCCAAGTTTCCAAAGATGACACCTTCAGGCAAATCTTTGATTCGTACTTTGGACATTCCTGGGATGTTGACATTCTTGGTGATGAGTTCGTTTTCACGACCTGCAATACCTACGGAAGCATGCATTATTCAATAAATCGAATAGATATTACCCGTCCCCCATCAAACAAAGCTAAGAGTCATCTGAGGAAAAGTAGAGGATGGATGAGCAAGAGTACATACTTTGAGTTCCGATAGTGTGGCGGAGGAGGTCAGTATGGACATGGAGGGAGAGGGAATTAAGTCCGGAGAGCCAAAGAGGGAGCCAAGGGACTCCCAAGTCGTGTGCCAAGTGGGCCCCAAACCAAAGGAAGGCGTCGGTAATCAAGCAGGTGAGGCGCTTCCCGGTGTGAGCCACGCAGGCGTCTAAGCTGGTTGTAAAGTTGTGGGGGGCAGCCTTCATGAAAAGCTCAATATCTTCCTGGGGCTTACCCGCAAACACATAGCCGTCGGGGACGCCATCAGCCACATCAAACACCTTTATGTTACGTGGAAGATTGGTAATAGTGTTGGAAAAGAGTGAGTTGTTGGATTGTGAAGTGCTGAAGAATGAGAAGAGAGTGCTGGGAGAGGCAGCGGCTAGGCGGCGGACGAGGGCCAGGGTGGGACTGGCATGGGTGGCGAAAGGGAAGGCTAGGGCCCCCACATGATGCTCATACACAACATGATCATCATCAATCGGTTGCGGTGCCATATATGTATGAGCTAATAAGACTAACAGGAGTGGGATGAGGAGGGATTTGGATGAGATTGGATTAGGACTTTATATAGGAATAGTGGCAAAGGAGAGGGGGTTGTCACAAGACAATGCTCAACTCACCAGAAAATCAGCCTATCATTCATATTACTGTTATTTCCTCTACTCTTCTTCATGGAATGGAACACAAACATGACACTAGAGAGACTGGTAGCTTAGCCTCCTTCGAAGATGAACAATGCACGTGATAACCCCCGCCACGCCCACTTCTTCTTTTTTGGGCTGTCTCTTCTAAGCCCAATTCAGCCCATAGAACCCAGTACCAGCCCATTCAATATGGGCCCATCAAAACAAACTCCACCACTAAACAACCACTCGCTGAGTCGACTCGCGTTTTTCTTTCTCAATGTCAATTCTGAGCTGAGGAGTGAAAAAGAAAAGAAAGAGACACCCAATATTCTAATTCCTCCCCAATTTACTTTCTTCTTTCTTTTCCTTTTTTTTTGTTTTTGTTGCATAAAATAAAATATAAAATAAAAATAAAAATTCTGGTTCGTTTTGGTCTTTGCAGAACAGAAAGAAAAACGCTACCTTTGTTTCTGATTTTTATTTCTTTCTCTCACACATCACGCGGGTGGTTGTTTCTCTCTCTAAATATCGATCAACCCCAATCGATCCATCAAATCATAACTCAGCTGATTTCTCTTTCTTATTAGTCGATGAGCTCGTGAAGTTCACAATCACTTCGACACCCACACAGACGCAGAGAGAGAAAGGAAGAAAGAAAGAGATCGAGCTTTTCTTTTTCTCTTGTTCAAGTATTTTGCTTGCCGTCATGGGTCAAGCTTTTCGGAAGCTCTTCGATACCTTCTTCGGAAACACTGAGATGAGAGTACTCCCTCTCTCTCTGTTTTTTTTTTTTTCATTTTCATTTTTATTTCGTACCAATTTTGTAGCATTTTCTTTCTTTTCCCTTTTCTGTGGTTTGACAATTGTAGCTGCCAGGGATATGTAGGGCTCATGTCGTAATGGTTTCTTTCTTGCCTTTCTTTTAGCTTTTACTGGTTAAAATTTTCAATTGCTCTTTTGAATATTGTGATATATAGGAGGCCGGACTTCATATTGTCATTATAATCATATGCATATTTAATATCGTTTTCTGAATTTGCTCACCTCTCTCTTGCCTCTTTCGATTTTTTTTACTCTTTCATTATCAGTTATTGGGGGACAGTGCAATTGCAGCATATTTACTATTTGATTCTCAAATTCTCAGTGATTAGATAATATTGTATGATCACATTAATACCTTACCCTCCCCAATAAGTTTTATAGGTTTCTACTTATTCCTGTAAAAGTGATGGAAAAATGGCTTATTCATTAAATTCTAAGTACTTGACTTCTTGCTTCTTTTTTATGTTCTTCTGTTGCTTACCTTTAATTTAAGAGCATGATATTTACTTCACTTTCCTTATTTGCCATTTTCATTTGCGGTGGTGCCATAGGTTGTAATGCTTGGCCTCGACGCAGCTGGTAAAACAACCATCCTTTACAAGCTGCACATTGGAGAAGTTTTGTCCACTGTGCCTACCATAGGTGGGCGTCTCTCATATCTACAATTGGACTTGTGGTATTATAGGTTGTTTAGATTTTTATGTTAAGGCATTTCTTTGTCTCAACAGGTTTCAATGTGGAGAAAGTTCAGTATAAGAATGTCATGTTCACTGTTTGGGATGTTGGTGGACAAGAGAAACTAAGGCCACTCTGGAGGCATTACTTCAATAACACGGACGGACTGGTAATCGAACTTTCTCTAGTCTTGTTCTACTGGATTCTGGTTCTCGAATCTTGCTAGTCAGTTGTCCCTCTTTTAGTTTCTTTCCTGTTTGTGCCTTATCATATATATAACTTTTTTTCCTATATGCAGATTTACGTGGTTGATTCCTTGGACAGAGAGAGAAAGGGAA